AAACAAACAAAAAGAAGTTGTACTTAGAGAAAATACTCATCTTGGAAACCAAGGAAAATGTGCTCCTTGGAAATAGGCATAGTGTTATGGATGATAAAAATGGTAAAAGAACTTGGAATATAGCTATGGTAGTGTGCCTGCTTAGTGAGGCCCTGAGTCCAACACCCAGAAATAAATAAAGAAAGGAAAAGAAGGTAGCAACATCCTTCTCCACCAAGGACAGACTTCAGGGTAGAAGGCCAGACAAAAACTCCAGGAGGAAAATACGAGTTAAGAAGACTGGTTGGTTGGGAAGACTGTAAAAGATCATCAATCAACTCTAAGGCAAATCTGTAGGCCAGACACATTCTAATGCAAGGTAATAAAAGGACTGCTAGGTCTGAGCTCAGAACCATCATCAATAACCTTTAAGGAGCCACAGTCTGTAGGAGAAAGGCCAGAATACTGCTCCAATTTTCAAAGAGGGGCTCTTCCCAGAAATAATGATTCACTGAGCTCGACATAAGTCCTCAGAAAATCCTACAATGGATCATGTTAAATGACTTTTGAGGATAATTATATTACAGACCAGTGCAAATAATATCAACCCTGACATTGTGAAAGTAAAACTGCATCTGAGAGAAGCTACAAGGTGAAGTTGGTATAAAAATGTGGCAGGAAGGAGGAGAATATCAATATCCTCATCTTGCTAAGTGGATAGCCGAGAGATTATGTCTATAGACAACTGAAAAAAAGAGGTGTAAGTATATTATTGTGAGTTACAGAAGTAACCATCAGAACAACCAAAAATAGAATTATATTTATACTACAAAGAAAAAGAAAGATGGGGTGGCTGATGAGCTAAAGTCATATCTTCCACAGCAGGACATCAGTACTAGGTTTCCACAGTACAGAAATCTAGAATTCATACTAAGCATGTGCTTAGAAATACAGGTGTCGCTGCTGAAAGAACTGAAAGCAGAAATGTTTCAAGGTGGAGGCTTCTGATAAGAAAGGAGGATACTTTTCAACATAAGCCTTGGACAATGTTTGATATTGTAAGCCATATTCATGAATTACCTCAGTATGTATGTAGCTTAGAAAAACTGCCATGAATTTCTAGGACTTCCTATGAATTTACCAAAAGTCCTACCACACTGCCATGGCAGAAACTGATTTTATTTCTTTCTTTCCCCCCTCACAGAGTACTCCGAACTTGTATGCACCCAACAACAATCTCTTGACTGAATGATGAATGACTTGTTAATTTCTGTTAGTAAATCGAGAAAAAAATCTTTGCACAAGGAAGAAATGTTTTGGAGACGGTGTGGGGAGGCAGTTGGTTTGGATGGGGCCGAGTCTTTCCAAGCCAAGAGCCCCGCTTCAGACATTGGCTATATTTCTAGATCTGTCCTAGCATTCAACAGCAGCTTCTGAATCACTGTTACTGTGACACGCCAGAGACCAGCTCAGCATAGACCTCCCTATGCCGGATATGACACGGCTTCACAAAACAGGATCCACGCACCAAGGGAGAATTTTCCCAGTGCACATGTTGTGATATATTTAACCACTTAGCTTCTAAAAGGAGGCTTGGGGTGAGTCTTTCAAAAGGCATGAAAACATCATTCTGTGTTGCATTTGCTTTTCTTTTTTGTTGTTGTTGTTGGTTTTGTAGCAGGGGAGGTTACACTTGCTTTTCAGTACCTTGGTTCCCTGTTTAAAATTGGGTAATTAATCTGGCTTTGAGTTTCTTTGCTGTCAACACATCTTAAAGGTAGGTTTCCAAACCTGAAACGGACCACTCGGACAGGTAAGAAAAGAGATAAAACTGCATCCAAATTCAAGAGCAGAATAAACTAGTTTTCCAGGTCTCACTGGCTCTTGAACACCTAACCTTGCTTAAGAAAACTGTCCACTATCTGGTTGTTTTCTTCACCCCCCATTGTTTAAGGACAAGAATGGGGGAGAGAAATACGGTATCTATCTGAATGTAACTAATTCATTCCTCTTAATGCTAGATGGAACTACACTTAACAATTAAAAAAAACTGGATGAAATAACCTTTATTAAATTTGTTTGATATAGAACAATACCCTCACTTTTACTCCCAAATATAACACCTTCTGTTTGAATTTAACGAGCTAATGCATGCTTGAAAGAACAAGGCTTCAGTTTCCATGGAGGAAATTGTTTTTGAAATGAGTTTGGAGAGATGGACAAGATTTTACCGGATCACCTGGAACAAAAATATCACAGGGGGGAGGGATGGAATCTTAAAAATAAATTAATAAAAAGTAATTCCTGACAGCTATATTACTTCTGAAGGCAAATTAAGTTACCACAAGTGACTCAGCTCAAATAACAAAAACATCTAGTCCCTCACTAGAGCTCCCTTCCCGCCCTTCACGCCCACCGCTGCCCACCCACTGCTGCTCCAGGACAAGGTGTACATGGCACCGGAGGGCTGCAACTGCAGGACGGGGCCTGCTTGACAGGAGCAAGGCTGAGCAGCTCCCTGCCGCTAGATGCGGAGGCTTCGCCGTGTGAGTCTTAGTGTCACTGAGTGATAAATGACCCTTTCTAACCATCTGCCACCGTTATTAAACAGGGGTCTCTGCAAGGCCCCCCTCACCTGAACTCCGCCTTTGTAATGAGTATGTTTGGTCTCTATGCATATATTTCATGGGTAACTCACATATAAGCTAATAGCTAGCCAAATTACAAGGCTATAAATATATCAGCTGTTGCAGAGAAAAAAGCTGGAGTGGTCTATGAAGTCAGCAAAATTCTGACAACTGATCCTTACAGCAGGCCTTAGTTTTCTTGCCCTCGCTTCCTCCTCCCCACGTAGGTAATTTGATATTATATATGTCTGCAGAAATAAATCACAAGTGAATTACTGAAAAAAAGCTAACTTGGGCCTGAAAGATTTTAATTATAACAACATTTTTTATTCCTAAGAAGTTTTAGCTGGACAATCTCCAAATAATCTTCACTGACACAGAACATTTGGAAACAGGCAAGAACTCTTGGTATGGAAAACAAATCCGGTCAGGCACCCACTGACTTATTCTCTGGCTATCATTGGTTTGCTTTATCTGTCCAGTGGGTGTTAGCTACTAAATCCTAAAAGGAAAGCCATTAGGCAGGATGCCCCAAAGTGTAATGTCACATGTCAAAAAGAACAAGATCCTCAAAAATCATCATCACAATAGGTAATTAATACTAAACAGAAACCTAAAGTCAGCACTGTCTCAATTTGCTGCTCTAGTTTATTTTCCATCCCAGAACAGGGCTATGTATATGTGATTTTTTTAAAAAATTTTTCATGCAGGATCTTGATATACAGTTCAGGCTGACCTAGAACTCACTATGTAGTCAAGGCTGGCCTCGAACTCGTGATCCTCCTGCCTCAGCCTCCTAAGTGCTAGATGACAGGCATGTGCTACCAGGCCCAGCCATGTCCTGGCTCAAAACTTGTGATATGCAGACCAAAGCTTACTTTTTTCCTAGGCACACTGCCTAGACCAGGACAAGCATTCAATTAAAAGATTATGGAATGAATGATCTCACTTAATAGAAGTTGAGGCTTGAGGCAATACTCATAAAGATCAGAAGCAGAGATAAGAGTGAGTTGGGAGTTAAAGGAAGCAAAAGCCAGAAAATAAAGACACGGTCAAAAGAATGGGAGAGGACGCTTAGGCTTGAATCTTTTTCTGAAGACTGGAAGATGGCTGTTGGCAGTGTTTACCTATTCAGGAGATAAGAGGGAAAAGGATGAATAGATAAAGAATTAGAAAGTTGGTGCCAAGTTGACAGTAACACTTAGAGCAGAACTAGTTTGACAAAGGTCTGCACAGTTTCCCAGAAGCAGGTCCATTAACTGGTCATGGTGAGTAAGCACAAGTCTCACCATTCTTCTGTCCTCCCTGTTTGCTGTCACTGTTACCATGGTCACAGAGCGTCGAGGCTCCGTTGGCCCATTCTCAGGGAGGTGGGAGACCTGCTTGCTGCGTCTGCACACTCAGACCTCCCCAACTGCTGGCGTTATCTCGGACAATGGCGATGGGTCAGAGAGTTACCGCTCTGCCAGGAGTGGCGCAGAGATGCAGGATCCTGCAGACCCTCAGACAGATGTGATGGCAAGAAACCTCACCTCAGTGTCAAACAAGAGCCTCAGAGGTTTAAAAAAACATCATCAAAGGTAAATATTCGCAGAGAGCTGGACAGTGACTCTAACAGCCTCACCAAGGTAACAGGTATGGCCTACTGCCTTTCTGGGAACAATGGCAAATCAGCTGGAAAAATACATTATCCTTGGCCAGTCTGGTGCTTAGTCCTCCAAACCATTGTCTCTCCTTTTAAACGTGTCCCTCCTCCATGAACTGAAGTTTTTTCTTGAAGACATGGAATGGCGTACTTCCTAGCTAAAGAATGTGTCTATTTCCTTGGATTGGCCTTACTTAAATCTTTCATGGGTAGGCTATAATGAACCCATTTTTATCGATAAGTAGGACTGGCCCAATGAAATCAGCTGTCCAAAGGGAACTATCGCTGCCATCTCCTTTTATAGTCCAGACTGGACTTGAACTCACTATGTAGCCCAGGCTGGCCTTGAGCTCACGACAATCCTCCTGCCTCAGTCTCCTGAGTGCTGGAATTACAGGTGTGTGCCACCATGCCTGGTAGGTCCTTGCTTTTGAAAGAGATGTACAACTCTCTCCTACAGAGAAAGTGGAATTGAGACCACAAGAACTAGATGTAAAATCTAGTCTGGATTTCCTTTGAACCAAATTACAGTCTTTCCACATGAACCCAAGAATTGTGCTGGCAGGGAATGACTTACACATGGTAGAATATTTAGGCTAAATGGTAGAACTGCAGCCCTGAGAGGCAATATGACTTGTCCGTGTGGTCTCCGAAGACCCTGGGGTGAGGTCAGTCTTAGCTGGGCCTATCATCAGGAAGACAGGAGGTTTCACAGGTGTCATAAAATCTACTGTTCTCGCATCTGTAAACTGGGAGTGATCACTCCTCCCTTGGCGTTGTTAGAAGGTTTACATGAGTGACTACGTGATCAGTTCTTATAACAGTGTGTGGAACTCAGAAAACAACTATTGCTGCTTTCTTTTTAAGTCAGGATCCTTCCCTAACTTTTCAAACACCACACCACAAAAACCAAATGCAGAAAGGAGAGAGCACCACGGAGCTCACCCATACAGGCATGGTGGCACACACCTGTAATTCCAGCACTCAGGAGACTGAGGCAGGAGGATTGTCTACTTTCTCCTTCGTGGTCCTTCAGGCCAGCTACAGCATCTTTTCCTACGCCTGGTTTTTGCCCAGTAAAGCCAAACGCTTCTCTTTTTTCTAACTTTATTAAAATTATGATCCTGGGATACGCCTTTCCAGTGATGGTCTACCAGTGCCCTAGCTGAGCTAATTCTCTTTGACTCAGAGGGTGAGGAATTGTCCCGCAAAGCAGCTTAGCAGCTGCCCTCCCTCAGCCTCCCTCAGAGTTGCCCCCGGCTGTGAGGAACAATCTTACCTTGGGTGCAGAGAGGAAACACGAGGCTATTCTGAGGGCCTGGGAACAAACGAGGCGAGCCGAGCTCCTCCCAGAGGACGCCTCCTGACAGCTTGGGAGCAAGCGGGCGAGCACATGCCCAGGGAGACTTCGGAAGGAGACGGTGAATTCCTGCCTCGACCTCAGGAAGGAAGCGTCTGGCTATTCCTGCCGCTGTGCAGTAGGGAGCTGGGGTGGTACTGGTACAAATGTGTGAAACGTTAAGGAGTAATTGGAAGAAATAGGAGGAGATCAGGAGGCAAAATGAACAAAACGCTTGATATGTCCACCCGCCAGCAAGGAGGTGAGGTGTGAGGAGAAGTCTGTCACAGTAGCCAATAAACCAAGAGGGCCAAATGTTTGGCTTGAATAACTCAGAATCTGCTCCTCGCCTGCACAGCAGAGTTTGGCAGTGAGTCAGCAAATCCAGCAACAGAATTTCTTTTTCAGGAGCCACAGACAGTCCATTTACATACGTGCGCAAGCACACACACACTCACATACACGCACACAGAATCTCTCCCAGATAGACCCTTCATCAGCATAGAGAAGAATATAGCATTTCCTATGAGATTTCCAAAAACCCTGTATATCATTGAAAATTATTGAGATCTGTTTGCCAAGAAATCAAAGATTTCCTTAAAGCAGCATTTTGACAGTTCTGCTGAGAAAATGCCACATGTCCTCTGACAATTTCTCCTCTCCCCTCCTTTGTTGAAAACAAAACAAAAACATAAGGATATAACCCAAAGGTTAACAATGGCTGTGTCTGCATTGTGAGATCACAAGTAATTTTTTCTTTTGTCTTCTTTTCTTCATTGTAGATTTGTGTTTTCTAATTTACCTTCAATAAACAGGTATTATATTTCTTTTTTCTTTTTCTTGAGACAAGGTCTTACTATGTAGCCTAGGCTGGCCTCATAGCGATCCTCCTGCCTCAGCCTCTCAAGCGCTGGGATTACAGGTGTGCACCACCACACCTGGCTTATATTTCTAATGTTGAAAACGATATAAAGGAAAGATATACACAGAGTGAGCAAAGCAAGAACTTCCCGAGGAGCAGCTCTGTTGTTTTATGCTGTTCAAATGACACCTCATTGAACCAACAAGTATCAACCACAGGGTCCTCGAGAAAGGCCGAGACCACCAGAGAAAGGCAGGCAGGGTTTTGTGAACACAGGAGAATCGTAGGGGTGGTTTTAGTTTTTGGAAGCACTAAAAGCCCCATAGTGACTGTGGTAGGCAAAATGTCAAAGCGAAGAGCTCTGTGGGACGTCGGCAACTATCAGACTGTGAGCAGCGGAAGCCCCCAAACAGCTGCAGGTCCCAGGCAAGCCCTTTGCAACTCAGTGGGAATTTTCCTTTTTGCAAAGCTATTCTCTGTTTCCACACTGCACATGAGTCACAGTGCTAATGAATTGAGTGTGGATAGAGGGAAGTGCATGTCATTGAAGCTAGTGCGATCTGGTAATGACATTTTCCAAAGTGCAACCCGCTTGGTTCTAGGCATTGCCAGACCACAGAACAACAGTGCATTCCAAAGTCTCTCCTGACCGGCCCGCTCATGGGAAATATCCCCAAAAGACCTATTGCAGACGTTCGCTCTGGTTGCAGGTAACACCTTCCTCTCTTGTTCCTGGTACTCTTGATATTGAGGAAACTGCAGCCTCAGAAACTTTGACCCTTCCTTTTAAAAGTGCAGCTGTGTCTGGACAAACCTTCCCAGGGCTAGCTTCATCTGTAGGAGTTCGATTCAGAGTCTTCAGTTCCCACAAAATACAAATCTTTTAGCCATGGTGGGATCAGCTTCTGTTGTCATGTCACAAGCCTTTAGCATGCAAGAGATGATCAACAGCCTCATGTTGTGCAGTTATTCCAACAGACGTCTCAGAGCCCAGGCAGCTGGGGACAGTGGAAGAAGCAGCGATTGCGTGACTGAAGGGCTGATCTGATGGAAGGAGAGAGATCGCAGTCCAAAGGGCAGCCTTTGAAGGGAAAAAGACATATTTGGGTTCGCATCTGGTGTCATGTCTCAGCATGGGGGTCGGTGTTGTGAACAGGTGGGAGACAACAGTGGACATAAAAGTTCACCTGTGACCACCTGCAATGTGGACCTTGTTCCCAGTAGTTCTATCTCTATGTGAATCATCTAGTTGGTCTTCAAGTTGATCTACACCCTTAACTACCTGTGCGGGGTTTGTTGTTATAATCCTGAAACCCAGCCCTGCGGTGGAGGTCCTGCTTCTAGCTCAACTGGCCCCTGCTTACCCGACTTGCCAGCTTGTGTCCTGTGTCTCAGTCACCTCTCCCCCCAGACTCCTGCAACACGGTTCCCCTACATACAGTGACAGAGTGAGCAAGAAGCTGCTGATGCTTGGGCTTGAGCCCCAAACTGTGTGACCTTAGGCAAGTGTTTGTGAACTTCTGCTTTCTTATCCAAAAAGCGAGAGCTGTAAGAGTTCCTTTCATCTTAGGGCTGTTATGTGAATCAAATGGGGCAGTGAATGAAAAGTAGAGCGCCTGGCCCATGGCAAGTACTCAGTGAATTTTAGCAGGGTGATAAGGTACTCATGGAGAATGGATTTTGCTAACACTAGCCAGCCACCCAATCATACAACAGTGGTTGTGAACCACAGGTGATTCTGCTGATTGCATTAACGGAGGGGGATGGGAGGATAATAGCTCCAGGGGGCAGAGGCAAGGGGTGCTGCAACCCACCTGCAGTGCACAGCACAGCTCCCCCACAACAAACAATCACCCAGTCCAAAGCATGAACATGCAGCCCTACCTGCCTCCTTTAGCCCCTGCTAGTGTGCCCCAGCTCCCAGGATGTGGTGGCTCTGGTGGTCCCCAAACCTCACCCCCTCAGGACTGGCTCATCCTCTGAGCACCCACCTGTGGTTTCTTTGTCAAATGGACAACAGGCTTTATCGTCTTGTCTTGAGTCCATGACAGCAGGGGAAGACAGAACGACCATGACTTTCCTCTGACCAGGAACTGTCGAGAAACTGCTTGCTGCAGGGCCATGGCCGAGAGCCACGTGAAAACAGGCCCAGCAGCCAGTCGAGTGTTCCACCCAAACTGGCTCCACACCAGGCCTCGCCAGTGAGTCACCACCACATGCTGCCGCCTCTCGCCGTGACCTTTCTTTATCCCTTCATTAGCTGTAAATCTTTAGCAGCAAAACAGCAGAGAACAGACTGGGAAGACCCTGGCAGAATATCACACCAGGCAAACGCCCAAATCAAAATTCAGAGTTAAAAACCCAGGCCCTGAATGAATGCCAATCACAGCAAACCAAGGCTCCCCTGCGCTGCCCCTGCAAACCAGAGAAGTGGACAAATGGAACCCTGTCTCTTAACATAATTCAAAGCGCGTGGCAACCCTGGAGCATCCTCTCCAGGAGAAGGAACAGATGTGTTTAGCAATACCCAGATGGCCAGGGACAAATTGAAGGACCTGTGTAATGTTTGCCCATAATTCACACTTGCACAAACCACACTGTACCCCTAAAGAAATCTCCCTAGTGTCCCTGCCTCCTCTTATGTCAAACAGAATTAATATTAAGTGGCCTAGGCAGTGCTGTGAGAAACAATTAACACACGTTATTAAGTACTGCTTGGGCTCCAAATAAAGCAGAACTGGCTTTCTGGTCTCTGCCTGTTTAGGAGCAAACCATCCCACTGGGGGAAAGGCGAGGGAAGGAGCAGCTGGCTTCTGTGTGGGAACTGCGCTCTGCCCAGGATCGCAGCACACCAAGGACATAACAATTTGAAATTTCTGTAGGTGAGGGTTTGGAAGGCGCTCTTTTTTCTTAAAGGGTCTTTTAAAAATTGGATTTCACTGTGGCATGTTCACACATGCGTATAACATACTTTGATTGTCCCCATCTCCTGCTACCCTCTCTGAATGTCTCCTCTCCTCCCCATGAGGAGTCTCCCTTCCACTTTTGTGTGTCATCTTTTTTAAAACCCATGCATTAGGAAACACATATGACACTTGTCTTTCCGATGAAACAGATGATTTTGTTTTTCTTTGGGGCTCAGTAATACTTCACTGACTTCACTGTGTAAACATACCACATTCTGTTTATCCATTCATCCATGACAAGCAGGTGGGCTGACTCCACAACTTGGCTATTATGAATTGTGCCACAATAAACATGAATGCTTGCTGACCTTAATTCCTTCAGGAATATGCTGAGGAGTGGTATAGCTAGGACTTCTATTTTAGTTTCTTGAGAAACCTCCATACTGATTTCCACAGTGGCTGCGCTAATCTACATTCCCACTAACAGTGTATAAGGGTTCGCTTTTCCTTACATGCGAGCCAGTATTCACTACTTTTTGTTATTATATTTTTATTCACTGTTTTCCTTTGTCAGTACTAGGGGCTGAACCCAGGGCTTTCACACTGAGCTACATTCTCTGCCCTTTGGACACGAGCTCTCATTAAATTGCAAAGACTGGGCTTGAACTCACGATGGTCCTACCCCAGCCGCCTAGAGCTAAGATTATTGCACCAGCATACCCAAATACTTTTTGTATTCCTGGTGATTCTTGATTTCTATGGATGAGGCATTGTAAGGGAGTCTTTAAACATACTCTCCTCTTGAGTTTTATACCCTCTGAAGCTCGGGAACCTTGTAAAAATGAGCAAACCCTCAAATAGCACAACCGCACCACTGTTTCCAACACTTTAAAAAAAAAAAAGACACTGTCTTTTGTCCTCCTCTTTTCTCAGCCGATGTCACCCCATCTTGTGCAATTGGAGTTTGTTCCTGGACAAGCCAGGACAGATCCCAAGTGACTCATCTGAACTGAGCCTTCCACCCTCACACTTATGTTTATAACACTGACAGCAACAAATTGCCATTTTATCCTTCTGTGTTTTGTATGTCTCCCAACATTCTGCAAGTGAAAAGGGATTGAGTATCTACCCTTCAGTGTGGACATTTCCACCCTGAGCAAGCGCCTGTCTCCATCACTCCTTCCCAGGGAATGAATCATAAACAAACAGACTTGACCCTAAATCAACCAGTCTCTCCTGAAAGTTTTTAAAGTGTTTATCAGCTGTTCCAAACATTCATACGGGTTGTGCTTTGAATGCTTGTGAGGAATTAGCTTCATTTTACAGATGAGGGAATTGAACCACTAAAAGGCTCTTAAAGGAACAGAACGGCTACTTAGTGAGACTTTCTGACTTCAACCCAAAGTTGAAGAGCTCCTAAGAGCGAAACTACATTGCCTCCTACTGTCTCTAGAAAATTAACATTCTAAGCAGCTACCAATTGGGCATGGCTGTCTAGTATCCACCTACCATAATTAACAAGCATATACATGTCTAGTATCCTCTCCCCATAATTAGCAAGCATATACATGCAAACCAACCAAGTAGGATTCTATTATGACCTCGAGACCATTGGTCTCACCTGGTTTCCTTTTGTTATATAAAACCTCATGAATTTATAAGATAATAATATCAGTTAACATTTGCTAAACACTTGGTACTGTCCCAAGGTGCTTTAAGTATTCTAACTTATTTAATTCTCCCAAACACCTTTTGAGGTGGGCACTACCATTGTTCCCTTTTTGAAAATGAGAAAAATGCAGCCAAAATGGTGGATCAGGTGTCTCCAATCACACAGCTAATAAACAGTAAGCTGGAAAATGTACCAAATAATAAGTCTCCAAAGCCAGTATCTTAACTAGTCCACTTTACTGTGTTTTCCAGGATTAACACAGTGAGAACAAGACCAGTGGGAACGGTGATGGGTTGTCTTACATATCTTCCTAGTGCCACAGAAAATATACATTGTTTAGAGCCAGGGTTTCTAAAATACTACAGAAAAAGAAGACCCATAGAATGCTGAGCACCGTGGAAAATGAAAACTCTAAAATGATGTGGGATGCTGCAATAAATAAAGCCTTAGAAAGATTTCAAAATCTGCAAAGTGCTTTCAACTAAGGTCAGAGAGGAGCTTTGTTATGATTATTATAATCTAATTTAAAGCTGAAGCCGAGTTGAGGAAAAAATGAAAATAAACTCTCTACTAAAGCTGTCAGCCCAACTGTGGCCTCCAACTGTTTTAGTCACTAAAACTCTGCATTTAATGGTCACTTTTATAACAAACACTAGGAAAGAAATACAAAGCTCTAAGTTACAGTTTACTTCTTAAAAAATGGAAAAGGATGTGTTGGAGAGCTGGGGAACTCCACAGAGAGATGGTGTCTGTGTCACCCTTCCAGTGGTGATTGGGATGCAACCATAAGACCTTTGGCTTGAAGCTGTAGTTCAGTGACCTTACTCCTGGTTGAAAGGACTCCCAACTATGTGGGCGGAATCCAAGTGAGTAACATCTATCCATTCAGCCTCCACATGCATCTTTCGGGAAGATCATCTTTCCCAGTCAATATGCATTTCACGTGGCTTTATTGCCACATGATATATATGCTGAGAGGCCCAAGTTAAAACTTTCCCTACAATTCATTAGCAAATCACAGTATTAATCTGCTAAGCCCCAAGGACTGGTTTGTCTCTGACCACAGGGGACATTTAAATTCCTCAGCTCAGAAGAACATTCCAAGGATGTTACTATGGCCTGTCACTAATTGCAGAACCAAAAGACCTAATGCTAAGACCATATTTGGCCAGAAGACATCTTCTAATATTTATTGAGGCAGTGTGATCAAACTCAGATCTGGTAAATATAGCCCCAGCAAATGAACAAACTCCTTATACATAAATCCCAGCCTCAGGGTTCCCTCCTCCCTGTCCCTCCTAGGTCAAGTTAGTTGCCCCTTCATCGGGGTTCTCCTACGTTTGGTTTATACCCCAATTGTGGAACTGAATGGTTGAACTCTAATTAACATTTCATACATCTGTCTCCTTTATTATCTATATTATAACTCCCAGGGGCAGAGGCCAGTGCCTTATCATCTTAATGCTCTTAATGCTTAGCAGAAACTCACAAATAGTAGGCACTCAATAAATATAGAAGAAAAAAAATTATATAAAATCAGGGCAAGGGAATCCTTAAGTTCAATTCAAATTAAACCCATGGTGCTGGGCCAGTATTTCTGTGGTTCAATTTTCTGAGTTGACCTATCTCTATGTTTCTTCAACCACGATCTTTATATCAGAGACTTTATCAGGATCACAAGGCATATGACACATATAAACATATAGGCTGACAATAAACTGACATTATTTACTGGAATTCTGGGAACAAGAAAATAACCGTTCTTGTATGCCTCCATGTTCCATTAGGAAACTAGGTGTAATTACTCTGAGACTGTTTCCCTCCTCCTAACTCTAGCCTGCGGGAGGGCAAGCCTGTGGAGCCATCTCCACACCATCCTCAGAACCAAGCAGATCATTTACTCCCTCTCATTATCCCAACTCTGTACCGATACCATCGGCCCCATCCAGTACATGGGCATTGTGACTAAACCACCAGGTTACGGACGCCAAAAAGCCCCTTGTTTAGGGCCAAGGAAAAGGAAAGCTTGGGTAGAGGCAGGAGGAGAACAAAGCTCTGTGATGTTTGCCTCAACACGCCTCTCCTCAGTCCCACAGCCCGAATGTATTCCTGAAACAAAGCCACATTCCAGAGTTCTCTCTACCACTCATTAATCACCTTTTATTTCCTAGATGGTAGAGATTTATTAACATGTGAGAATTCCACCCACAGCAGAAGAGGTGTCTTTGTCAGTGTAGTTCATAAATCTTTTATGATAGAATCAGAGGATGGTGAGTGAGAAAGATACGCAGAGAGGTGTGAGAAAATGGAGACTAAGCGGAGAAGCCCAGACAGCCTGCATCGTTAAGAGCTGGGGGTGAGGGTGGAAATCTAGTCGAAGAGCATTGAGGGAAAGAAAATTAGAAAGGCGAAGAAGCAAGATTTTATGATGTGTGGCTGGCAAAGAACAATTTCCCCTTTAATGTGCTTTGAGAAACTCGTGTAAAGATTGAAATAACTTTTAGATTATTTTGGGTCTAGACTGGGCTTATTTATAGGGAATTTCATGCAGAGATTGGGCCATTTGGACTCCTCGGCTTGTTTTAGAATTATATGTACTATTACTTAATACAGGAACACCTCCCAGGGTTGGGAAACTTGTCTACGGTGAGAACTATTTTACCACACCCTTCTAGTATAATTGATGAGGCACCACATAGGATTCAGATCCACAGAGGATAATTAGACTCATTTACAGGGAAGATATAAAACTAACTTCTATGTTTATAGCTATTAGTGACCCAGCACTGTATAAACTGCTTTAAATGTACTTGTTCATTTGTTTAGTAGCATGTGTATTTTTAAATTTTATTTATTTATTTATTTATTTATTTATTTATTGTCTTTTTTGAGACAGGGTCTCGCTATGCAGTTCAGGCTGGCCTTGCACTCACTTTGTAGCCCAGGTTGGTCTCAAACTCGGAACAATCCTCTTGCCTCAGCCTCCTGAGTGCTGGGATTACAGGCATGCACCACCATGCCCGGCCTAAAATCAGTTTTTTAAACTCAAAAATATTTATTCAGAACCTCTTATAGGCAGATTTTAGGCCATTTATGGGAAAGAGGGATCAGCACAAAGACAAGAGCCTGTCCTTCAGCTTATAGTTCAGTGGAGAAGACAGAAATTAGATACAGAAACACAGAAACTTATTTACACTTTTGCTTACCTAGCAGCAAGTCTGTCTGTCCCCAGCTGAATATCCTGAATTCCCTAGGGCCCAGGAAACTCAGCTCTATGAGGTGTGAGGAGCTGCATTAGAAAAGAAACAAACAAACAAACAAACAAAAAATGTATAACCTGGAAGGAGGAAAGCACCCTCTTGTGGCCCTCTGGGTGTTGGCACCTGGGAAAACTCCCTGTGCTAAGAGGGAGGAGGCTGCTGCTGCTCCAGCCAGGTGGCCCAAGACAGCCAGAGTAACAAGATGAGGTAATAGGCCCTGGACACTCCCTCCCTCCCTCTCTCTCTCTCTGTCTCTCTCTCTCTCTCTCTCTCTCTCTCTCTGTCTCTCTCTCTGTCTCTCTGGAAACATTTTCCCGTGTCTCCTCTGCTAAGTGGTCTTACGTTTGAACCCCTGGACACCTCTGCTGTGGAATCAAGTGACACACTCTGCAGTCGAGCCATTGCTCTGAGTTCAGCTCCATTCTCCCTGCAGCTCTAACATGCAGCAGAGGCTGCGATAGGGAGGCGCCCCATAAACATGTTGTGAGTAACTAAATAGATTGCACAACCCGTCCAGCCTGGCACTGCTTGCTTCGTAGGATCTTGGGAAGGCTGAACAAATAATCCAGGTTGGTGAAGTCCCTGAATTCTCTGAAAATAAATGACTTCTTAAAATATTTAAATATAATCTATGTCCTTCCTAAGAGTTTCTATGGAAAGAATAATATTCATAAGGGGTATACTTTGTGCTTGGAGCTAAGCCTGGTATAGCTTAATTTGCAGTAGAGTAACATGTAAATTTATGATAATAAATTATATTATTTAAATGAAATTATAAAAATAAGAGTAGCTCGCTCCTATTCAACTTTCATGAATGCTGACACCTCTCGAAGAACATGGTGGTCTGATTTGTATTCGGGCCCAAAAACCAGTGTGACCCACCAGAGCTCAGGCGCTGCTGGTTTAAAGTGTGTACGTGGGAAGCCCCGTCAAACTGCGGTGTGTTACAGTTTGCATTTCCTGCGCGGCTTCACTCAAGAAGACACGGAGAGGCCCACTCGGTACAGGGCTCTGGATTATGAGATGGCGCTGACAAAATCACTCAACGCCATTCCTCAGAGGCTGCCAGGAAAGAAGGCTGTAGCAAGAGGAAGTAGAAAGGGAGTGTATACAAGTGTGTGATGGGGGAGCTTGACGGGAAGAGGGAGAGGGAGGGAGAGAGAGAGAGAGAGAGAGAGAGAGAGAATGATTCCAAGACTACTTGCAACAGTGCTTAATCCACAGAATCCAAAAAGTAAACAAACCAGTCAGTGGCCTCTGAAGGAGGGAATTGATTTTGAGACATGTTGATTCTGCTTCTAACTCTAAAGCTTGTGAAACACTCTACTGAGTTGTGAAATAGCAGAGGCTGAAAAGTGCTTCTGGCCAAACGTTTAACCTGTCTGAGTAGAAAGATCACAGGGCACAAGCAGAGGGACGGTCGGCCATGTGGCTCTCGGCCTTGCAGCCATCGCTTCCCCTCTGATTTCCACTCTGGGCTGAGGGCTCCTCGGTCCAGCGCATCTGGCTGAGCTCAGGGTGCCAGACTTAACACGTGTGACACTGACCACAGAGACTGCCTTGTTCTCCTCCAGATGAGCGACCTCGAGTCCTCATCATTTATAATCTGGGGTTATCTCTTTGAGGTGTGCTGCCTGCAATAAACCTGCATTACTTCCAATCACATCCTCCTAAAATATACAGGAGGCATAGTTTAAAATACTATGAGCGGGTCTTGGTGACACACACCTGTCATCCCAGCACTCAGGAGGCTGAAGCAGGAGGACTGCTGCAAGTTTAAGACCACCCTGGACTAGATAGCGAGACAGTCTCAAAAAACTAACTAAATGAATAAATAAATAAAGTCTATCTTTGAAGTCAGAGACTCAAAGTTTAGAATTCTAGAACTGTCGGCATCCATGCCATCTTGGGCAAGTTTAAGTACCTCTACCTTAGTTTTTTTTCTCTCAGAGTTAAAATGCCATTTATAATAATATCCACCTTATAGGCTTTTTTTTTCCTTTTTTTGTCTTTATGAGACAGGGTCTCACTATACAATTTAGACTGACCTTGAACTCACTTTGTAGCCCAGGCTGGCCTTGAACTCATAGTAATCCTCCTGCCTCAGCCTCCCAAGTACTGGGATTATAGGTTTGGGCCACCATGTCCCACCCACTATAGGCTTTTAATAAGAACCAAATGACAAATCAGATACCTCTGGTAGACAGTAAGATTTCAACAGTTTTAATTTCTTACCTAAGTCTGAAGATATCTTTTTTTTTTTTTTTTTTTGGTTTTTCTCCGGTACCCGGAACCGAACTCATGACCTTGCGCTTGCCAGGCAGGCGCTTTGCCACTGAGCTAAATCCCCAGCCCCTAAGTCTGAAGATATCAAGTGACTTCCTTGAGGCAACAAAGAAGCAACCCAGTACTATTTGCTCCTCCAGATCACAGGTCAATTTCAATTGCTGTTTTTATTATGTATTATTTATCCCCTCATCTAGTGTATAACTAAATGTGTTGCGTTCTAAAAGAGAATTATTAGGGCCAGGGATGTGGCTCAGTGGCACAAGCCCCTGTCTGGCAAGCACAAGGTCCTGAGTTCAATTCCCAGTACAAAAAAAAAAAAAAAAAGAAGAAGATCAAAAGGAGCATTATTTCATTTCTCCAAAACATTTTAACCTCTTTAGAGAAATGGTTATTAATCACCATTTTCATGTTCTAAACATTCAGCAAGGCTGACATCCAAAGGTCAAGAGTTCAGACTTGTAAATGTTGAAATAATTTTGCCAGTAAAATTTCCTGAGTTTCCATATAGCGTTTCAATTAACTCCATTTTGCTAGATGTGCTCTCAACCCTTAAAAGAGCAATTCATCTCAGCCAGTGGTGCCCTTTTTATTCTTTCATCAAAGTCAAACACCCTACAGGAGAAGACTGTAGCTAACATTTCCTCCTATCCTGCTCAATCTCTGATCTAAGTACATGTTTGGTATTCTGACTGATTAGGTAAATCTTTGGTATCAGTGAACACAACTATGCTAACCGCTAGCTCAAGAACAAAGAAGAAACCAAGTTTCTTCCTCAAGCAGAAGATGAAATTATAAGAAAGATTTAAAGGAGTCATTGCAGTGAAAATGATTGGGTTTGTTCCTACTGTGAAAAATTCAGCTATCCATTGCTAGGCGTGGTGGCGCACACCTGGAAACCCAGCACTCGGGAGGCTAGGCAGGATCCCAGTGAGTTCAAGGCCAGCCTGGGCTACAAAGTGAGCTCAAGGCCAGCCTGGACTATGAGACTCAATTCAGACATAGAGTGAACCAGCCTCCGTGAGTTCCTGGACCCACTGTTTTTATGGGGAACATACAGTTAGGAGAGAAATTCCTTATTGTTAAAAACAATTACAATAACAAAAAGCATTTAATCTAATAACAAAAGGCATTTAATCCAAATATCCAGCTTTTGTCAGGCTCCAGTCCTTACAAGACACTTCGTGGACAATAGTATCTCCCCCTTTATAACTAGTTCATTGTGATTCAGAAGGACCTCAGCAAGGCTGCTCCGGGCCTGTTTCTCTAGTTGAAGGGCAGCTGTCCCTTGTGTGGACACGGACAGCTCTGCAGTGGCCTTCACTCAGCCTCCGCGCCTCTACAGAGAGAGTCACAGAGGGCAGCCCCCAGCCAGCCAAGGACCCTGATTCCTTGCCTAGGACTCTATGCCTAGTTCTCACAGTCTATAAATCCACCAGATGCCAGGGTGGTGTCATCTTTCTCCCAGTGCTCACTTGATTCCAGCCACACAGTGGCCTTCGGGGCAGGGGACAATGCCACATTCCCGATGCCTGTGTAGTAGTATTCCGGTTATGTGCTCCGAGGCCAGAGTGAATGCTAGCTCTGATACGATTCTGTCAACTTAGGTAAATGACTGAACCTGCCTCAGCTACAGGTTCCTTATCTGCGAAATGGGGATGATACAATTATTACAGACAGCTAAGTAGGGAGAAATACAGTAGGCAGGCAGGCAGGGCTGGGCCCTCCAGGGAGTCAGTGCAAAAGATAAAAATGCCTCAAGACTGGCTGAGGCCCGGCGTGGTAACTGAGGCAGGAGGATTGTTGCAAGTTTGAGACTGGCATAGGCTGCAAAGTGAGCTCAAGGCCAGCCTGAACTGCATAGTGAGACCCTGTCTCAAAAAGACAAAAAAAAAAAA